AATTGACCCACTACTTTGAAATGCATCAAAGTCAGCTTGAATGGAACCAAATATTCTGGATTTTCCGCAAATGTGAAGATTTTTTGAATCTGCATCACACCATGTACAAGGGTGAGCACTGGCATGAGACTGAAGCCCAGTTATGAGAATCGCTAATTCAAATCACATGAAACAATAAAAGAAGTTTTCAACTAAATCAAATTTAAAGTTGCAAAGTATCAAATAAATAATAAATAAAGTATCAAATTTAAAATGCTTTTCAAGATTTTATAACTCTCTTATAAATGAAAATCCAATATGGTGAAAATTGCTGTTTCTGAAAATCTACTTATAAAGTAGATTTTCAGAAACAGCAATGGATAACTGATGCTTTACACCTGTGTCTTTTGCAACACGCTTTGACGGAGAAGAATCCTCTCTGCTTGCTTCAATAACTCCCAAGAATACTTTCAAAAAGCCACCTCCACCATCAATTCCCACTTTGATCAATGATTCTCCAGGAATATTTCTGACTTTTGAAATATGGTTGACTATATCAGACGCAGCTGTTGCCTCCCTTTGCTTGGCTGAGACGGACAGTGCCATGAAGAAAAGGAGGTTTTAGATGATCATAGTTGCAACCATCTCTGCAGCCACTGCATTTTTTGAGGCAACTGCAACCAAATTTTGTCGCATTGTTCCTTTTGTACATCTGTGGGGCAGTCCTCGCCCAATCACAGAAAACAGTCCGAACATCTTTTTTCAATACTTACTTCGTTCTTAGGTTTACATGCTGACAGTGAATGAGGAATGTTCAGCTTATTTCTGGCAGTTTCACAGATAAAACAACTACAAGGAGATTCTCTGGTAGCTGATCGAACTAGATGCTCTTAAAATCGTAAAAGCTAGGAAGAGGAGGATTTTCACCCTCATCTTTTCTTCTGATGGCAATATAAAATCTTTTACAAATACTTGAAGGAATCCTGTTATCAGAAAAATCCAGCTCAACTTTTTGTCCTTTCTCAGAAAAGTTGTTAGCTCACGATTTCCCTTCTGAAGACACAAAAAACAAACAGCTTTTCTATTCTCTTCATGGTCTTTGGCTTTGTTAGGCATTTTTGCAACTTATATCTTCTAGTGTGTTGTGAAAATTGTTTATTTTTTGAAATGCATGCTTTTTCCCAAAAAAAAATTTTAAAAAACAACACAAAAATAAGACTATTATTTAAGGTATTTGTTTTGGGAATGAAAAAAACAACCAAAATAATTTTCAGAAACACCAATGTTTTTACTTAAAATCACTTCTAGAAGTTTTACCCATAACCAAATTGAGTAACAAGTTCTGTAAAAATGCAAAATCCTCTGTCAATTTGTAATTTTTTAGACCTATCAGCTTCAAAATTTAAAATAAAAATATCTTTCTCGGACGTAATATCTTGAAATTTATATCTAAATGTTCTACTATATATGAGCTATCATCCCCCAAAAATGTTACCTGGGGACATGAGTTTAGGATTGATCATGGTTTGGGTACACAGTGTAGTGGTTTATTGAGAATCTTTTTTTAGACTTATTTTTCGTGATTTAAATAGTACGAAGAATGTGCAAAAGTACATATATTCTTTTATTAAAAAAAATTTAACTTATATTTTAACATATTAATATACTAAAACAATCACTTATTGACCAATTAAGCTGTTAACCTTGGTTACTTAACTGCATTTTTGAATGTAGACTGAACCAAACGTAAAAATATTCCAGTCTACTCCACACTTAGTTTTGATAGTCGTTGTTCAATTCGCGTTGGGAGATTTTTTCACCTTTCAATTCGCGTTGGGAGATTTTTAGACAAAAATTAATGCCGTGCAGAGAGAATTTTTAAAAATCACTGAAAATAATTTTGTTGTACAGTCTGGTGATTGAAAATTGTAGTGGTGCGTAACGGTGTGATACGACTACGCGAATTTTAGTCAGTTCAGCTACAGATATATTTCTCTTTTTTTTAGTACTATGAAAAGTCATATAACTGTTTAGACTGACATTTTTCAGAGAACTTTTTTATGATTTTCTGTATTTAAATGAAGGTCAAATGATGTTTTACCTTTATTAGGAATATTGATAGCCACTTTGCGTACAGAATGCTTCTTTTATATTCTTTTGTGATTTGAATTGTTAGGTTGTTGTAGTTTATACCTAAACGCTTTTTTTGTTATTTGTTTGTATCTTGTATAAAAATTAAAATTAAAAATAATTCGATATTATTGAGTTGAAAATCAATTAAAATTTCACAATATTATTATAAAAAAAGCCAAAAGTTAAACTATTTACATAATATAAATTGCTTTAAATTAAATTTTATAATTTTAAGTTTTATTTAAAAATTATCTAAAGTTTAAAAAAAAAAAAAATTTAGGATTATAGTCATAACTTTTTAGCGTTGAAACTTGTCAATCAAATTAAATTTAGTGTGCTCAAGTTTAAATTTTATTAACTCATTGCTTTCACGTGGTAGGGAGAAGGAGCAAAATTTTTTGGACATTTTTGTTCCCAAGCTTTAACAGTTGCAATTTTTTGCCAAAACATTCTTATTTGACATAAGTATGAACATACTTAAGTTTAGAGTTTACAAAATACCTGAAAGTGTCATACCTGCAATATCAAAAAATCCTGCCTACGCAACTGCCTAGCATATATATTTTTAGTTCATCAGATCAATTTGACATTAAAATGGGCTGATCCGGACATTTATAGAGTTTTTTCTTGAGTAATATCTCTCAAGTAAAACCTTTTAGATTCATCAAAGCTTGCAATAAATTGCTGGTGATAGTGGATCGTAAGAAAACAACTCTCCTCAATGCAAATTTCAAGATGCAATTTTTTAAGAGACGTCTCTCTCTTCGAAGATATTTAAAAACAGTGCCATCAAGAAGAAAGCGAATGCAAGTGGAAACAGAAAGCGAAAAAAATTGTTACGCTTTTACTAATAAAGTTGTCTAAACGTAGAAAGAAAGAAATATCGGTGTTTTTTGTTGTTGTTGTTGTTGTTGTTGTTGTTGTTGTTGTTGTTGTTGTTGTTGTTATTGTTGTTGCTGTTGTTATTCTTTATTTTATATTTATCATTTATCTTTATACATTGTAAAAAGAGAAAAGAAAAACAGGTAAAGGAATAAATCAACAAATAAAAAAATAAAGAATACAGAAACTCTAAGACGTCTTGTTGCAAAAAACCGTTATGATTGAGGTTTAAGTTTTGTATGCAGAAATCAATTGATTTAGCTTTTCTCGTTAGATTATAAGAAGTTGATTCTCTATGTCCATAGTTTTTTAAATAAATATTTTTTCCTTTTTTTTTCAATTTTGATTGTGGCAAACATATTCTGGGTTCGGAAAATATTTGCTGTAAAAGTTTTATATATTTTATCAGAAATACCTTTAATATTGTTAATTAGGTAATAGTCACGTTAGGTAGGTAATTTGTCACGGTCAAAATATGAACAAAGATAAAAAAAAAATATTATGAGAAGCATGAGTTCGTAAATAATGAGAATTAAAAATCACATTAAAAATTATTTACTAACACATTTATAACAAAACAAAAATATTTTAATCAAGTAATGATAATTGTTGTCAAAAAAAAATTAAAAAAAAGAAACTCAAATTGTAATTAACAAAAATGTCATCAAAGTAAGTTGAAATTCTGCACATTCAAGAAGAAAATCCATAATGAAACTACAAACGTGTCTTAAAGCTACTTGAATTCCTATATCTACAGTTGAAACGGTTATAAAAAGGTATGACCCATGATTCATGAGACTTTATCGAACAAGCTTTTTGGAGTGGTATATATTGAGAAAGAATAATTTTTTACCAAATATTGTTTTTTAGATTAATTGTATATATATAACTATTATTATTTTATAAAGATTTTTATATTTTACATATCGTTAGTCTAAAGTCATTACCACGTGTATTAAAAAACTAAGGCTTTCAGGTGAAGCAAAAAACTGAACTGATGCTAAGATGCTATGAATTATAAAAATTCAAAGTTCAATACAACTCTGAATAACTACTTTTTCCCATTTTTTAAACTTTTGAGTTTTGATAGAAGATGCACATTTACATTTTTTGGTATTTGTTGTAATGACTTTTGACCGAATAAATAAAAATAAATATAATATTTCATACTAACAACCTTAGCCTCGTTTAATCAAAACGTTTTATGAAACGCTTTATTTAAATATCATGCGGGGAAATTTTAAACAGACAAAAATTAAATAAATAAAAAGGTAAACAGATTCAAAAAATTACATAATGAATTGAAGTGTTTATCAAGCTAACTTTTTTCTTCGCATGTTAGTTTAAAAAATTTATTTTATATTTGACAAATATCTTTTTATTAATATCTTTTAATAAAACCTTTTATTTTTCTCTTTTTCCACATATTAGTTTAAAAAAATCTTTTTATTTGACGAATATCTTTTTATTGAAAAAAAAAACAAACATGTTACTCAAATGTTTTAATGTAACTTTTTTATTTGTTTTAATATATTATACATTCTAATAATTATTTTAAACTTCATCTTTTTCATATAACACTTTTATGAACACGTTGTACTGAATAAAGAAGGTATATAAAAATATGAAATGCATTTGTAGGAATGGCATTATTCCGATATCCCTGTAAGGTAACGGGTACAACACATCTTCTGCACCTGCACACTTCCAGCACCCCTTTATAACAAAACATTAAAAAAATTTAAAAAAAAAATATAATTAATGCGTAGTCGCAATAAATAAAAAAAATTGGATAATACTTGATTTAGTAAACTTTGCGTTCTATATTTTTATTCTAATTTTGTTTTTATATTTCAAATTTTATTAAAGATTTGTTCTAATTTTGTTTTTATATTTCAAATTTTATTAAAAATTGTTAAAAAAAAAAAAATTGTTCTATTGTGTCAGTTTTAAAATTAGTCATTTATTGCCCTCTAGTTTCAAATCATTAACTTTTGCTTTTTTAGAATGGACTTTTTGCAGATTTTTTCTCTCTACGTTCTCTGCGTTTCATTGGTGAGTTTTATTTTAACTTTGTGATAATTTTAAATTACTTTAAAAAAACAAAAACAAATAACAAAACAAAACAACGAAAAACAAACAAACAAAATGTACTAATTGCTGTTTAAGGAGGTGTAAAATATTTTCAACTTAGAGAATATAGCTTTCTTTTTAAAAACAATGAAAATAAAAAACCTCTGTAAATTTATTGTATATATATCATTTTGCATGTTTGCTGTAAAATTTTAAAATATTACATGTTAAGTTATTTTTTTATCGATATAAAAAAATGCAGTGGTAACTTTTTATAGCAACTTAACTTAACTTTTATAGTAACTTTTTATACTTAGAGTAAATTATTAACTAAAATTGAACAACTGCCAAGATAAAATTGAAATAAAAAAATACTCGATTATGAGTGGTTAATATTTTTAAGGATTTACACACATGTTAGTTTGATGCTTTTATGTAAATGATTGCCATGATTATTGCCATAGAAAAATATCGTGTTTATAAAATTCTAATAAAAAGTTTCCAGGTTAGGTTAATAATGAATAAAGTATCTGTGTTTAAGACTAAAAAAAACCTTTTTTGAAATCTGGTTATGGTCTTATTGCAGAAAAGCATTTAACGAGTGACAACCAAAAAACGAGACTGGGTTTAAAGACAGATAACTCCTTAAAGGTATAAGTTAAAACAAAAAGGAAAAATGTTTTACAAAGTACTTCTATTCTAGTTTTAAAATAATTTATATGCTTTTATTTATTTTTTTCGAAAAATCAATAAAAAAATAAATTCAAAACAAAAAAAGATTAGAAAACGTGTGTATGAACTTTATTTAAATTACAGAAATATGTAATTTATATAAAGTTCATATACATACACACTGAATAAATAAATGACCACGTGCTGAAAGTGAATTTGGTTACTAAAGAATTAAAAAAAACGAAGGAAAGGTTAAAAAAATGACCAAGACAAACATTAAAACTAATGTTTCAACTTATGTTTGACCATTAAGACTTAACGACAGGAAGCTAAAAAGTTCAACTGTACTTAGCAACTCATTAGTAAAACATTTAAAGAGACAAAAATTAAACCAAGAAAAAATATGATAATTCCAAAACTTTCTGGCTAGAAAAATGCAGTTGCAAAAAATAAGTAAAGTCAATTGAACAAGAAATTTAAAAATCATAAACCAATCATTGATCGTTAGACTTTTTTCAAGTTAAAATCTACTCCAACTACAGTTATAAAATCTACTCCATCTTCAGTTAAATACTAAACAGAACAAAAGCTTCAAAAAAAAATTACATCATGAACTGCTTTTTTTGGCATTTGGCATTTGGTATTTCTCAGCCCTATTTTGTGCCCAGTGGACTGGATGTAAATAAAGAAATCTACTTAAACAAAAGCATTAAGAAGAGGCTTATTCCGTTCATTTATAAGTATCATTCAAATGGTGCATCTCTATTCTGGACCAATTTAGCATCTTCTTACGATACAAAAACAGTAATGATGTACCTAAACAAGAAAAAAGTGCATTTTGTTGAGAAAGCGGATAACGCTGCAATCTTGAAAGAATGTCGTCCAATCGAAAATATTTTTCGATAGAACGACATTCTGGCCTAGTTAATAAATCAGGAATAGTTTAATTGAAAATAACTGATTATATAGATAAAAACTAAAATAAATATACTTTCTAAAACATTTTTCCTTTTTTTTTTTACCTTTTGCCATAAAAGATATACGAGTCTTTAAATCCAGTCTTGTTTTTCAGTTGCCACACGTTAGCAAGTTCACGTCTTCTTTTTTTACCAATATTGCAAATATGGCAAGAACTTGCATTGAACCTCGGATCTCTCAACTTTGAATCACACAAAAAATTTTTTTTTTTGCCTATTAGTAAATTTTTAGGAAACTAAATGTTTTTTTAAAATTGAACATAACACTTAAAAGGTTTAAAAAACAGTAAATGCTTGATATCTAAATGGTCAATAAAATAATTTATAATAACTAATTAAAAACTTTGTTAGCTTTATTAGTTAAAGATATTTGTTTATATTTAGATGAAATGCAGAGGAGAAGAGCTGAATCTTGAAACAATACTTAAGCTTATAACACCAGACCCTTCAGATAATTCGCAACAAGTACCAACGGGTGAGTTTTCCCGTTTTCGAAGAAGTCGTATTCTATCAGCTGACGAAGAAAATGATCTAATGCATAGTGATAAAAAAAATATTAAACGCGATGCCAATGAAGCTGATGTTAAAACTTTTTCAAGTGCAAATTTGCCAAATTTAGAACCAATCAAAAACAAACCAGAACAAATATTACTAAAGTTAAAAGACTCTCATAAGCTATCAAACATAAGTAAAAATAGTACGGTTGATATAAAGGATGCGTATCTTAAACACGAAACAAAAGGAGTTGAAAATATAATGAAAAACGATCTAGAGAAAAACAGCAAAAAAAGCACAATGTTTCACGTACAAGAATACCAAAAAAACCAGAGAGTCATTTTAGAGCTTAATAGTTCCTTAAACTCTACATCAAAAATAGCAAAGGAGATCAAGAAAGCTAGCAAAGATTTAAAACTAAATCGTAGATTTAAAGTACCAAAAGGAGAAGATGGCTCAGGATCGGGATCTGGTAGTGGAGAAGATGATAATTTAGAAGAAATAATTGTGTCCGGAAGCGGTCAAAAACCAAATAAAAAATCATTAGTGGGTGCAAAATTTGTTTTTAAAAATGTTACTAATGGTCACGAATTAACTCTTAATGAAGCCGCTTTTCTTTCTAACCTAGCTGAAACAGGAAGTTTATCTGGTAGTGGCTCAGGATCAGGTGATACAGATGAAATGAGTGGAGATGATGAAAGTAGTGCAGCAACCAATTTAAAAAAAATTGTTCAGGAAAATGATGAATCAACAAAAAAATCTTCAGTTAAAAACGCAACAGTTGTCAATATTGATAATCCAAGTGCGCTTAAAAGACAACTAAAAGGAAGCAATATTGTTTCTGCTAATAATGCAAGAGCAAGGCAAATTAATGTCTCTCAAACCTCAGAAAATGTACCTTCAACAAGTTTAAATTACAAAGATAAATCAACAACTGTTAATGGTATAAAAAATGATAATGCTACAAAACCGATAGTCATTACTAAAATATATGACGTGGCACATATTAACGGTATAAAGAACTTAAACCAATCAAATCTTTCAAGTAGCATTTTTTATCCTGTAAAAAAAGATTTTATTGATAAACCTGCTAATAATAAAGCAAAAGAATCTCCGTTGTTAAACTTTGAAATGCTAGATGATGATCCAACTCCATCAAAGAAAAAGGATGAATTTCCTATGAGCCAAAAAAATATCACAAGTGAAAATGAAGATGAACTTCCCGGAAGCCATGGTTCAGATTTTAGTGAAGACGATATACAACAGCTATCAGAGAGTGACGATTTAGATTTAATGTCAAGTACTAATGGTAAAAAGAAGGATTTACTACCTCAATTATTTGCGAACATAGCTCCTAGCAACACAGTTCTTAGCAACATAGTTAACAAATCGGATCTCGAAAATATTCCTTTAAACAACATTTCTTCGAGCAAAATATCTTTAGAAAATTCTACACAATTTTTAAATGCTACTTCTGCTACTGATAGAAGTAAAGTTGAAGAAAAACCTTGGAAAACTATATACAATGACCAAGATCTACCTGGGAGCTTTAACGAATTAAACATGACGGAGTTTACTCCAATTAACGAAGACGCAAAAGTCTCCAATATATCAAACGATGTTGAGATGAAAATAGCCAGCTCAATTGTTTCATCATTCGACGCAAGTATGAACAAAAATGAAAAAAATAGTACTACAAATGAAATTTTGCCAGGTGATTATGGTGATGAGACCCCATTAGATGATTCGGATATATCAGGTATGTTTGGATCTGCATCATCAAGTATTGAAACTGGGGCTTCAGGTAGCGGATCAGGAGATTCTAGTGAAAATGTTGTACATAAAATGCTTACAGAAGTAGCAAAAACATCTACAAATAGACTCCGAACTCCTTCTTTTAATGAAACTATCAAAACGAAAAAAAATCAAGCACTTGAAGTTTTAAGTACTGAAAAAAACATTACGGAAACTTCAAACAAACATGCAAAAGCTTTGAATGAACAAACAGAAGTAGTTAAAGTCCAGAACGGCGAAAGCTCAGGTGATTCGTTATCAGGTTCTGGAGAAGAAAACGATATTTTCTCAGCGTTAAGTGGATCAGGTGAAAGTATTTTAACTGATACATCCAAAATCACTAAAACCGAGCAGAAAAAAATTGCATCAGTAAAACCCTCGAAAATTTCTCAGTCTGAACAGAAGAACACTGCTCCCACTAATCAGGAAACAGAATCTGAACAGAAGAACACAGCTCCCCCCAACCAAGAAAAAAATTCCGCTATAAAACAGGAAGTAGTTGATAAAACTAAACAGGAAAAAAATCAAAATAAACAGGAGAGTGTTAATCCATCTGAAATAAAAAAAACTGCTCAAAAAGAGCCGGAAAAAATTGAGTCAAAAACTGAGATTGAGAAATCAGCAGATGCCACAAATATTAAAAGCGAAGTTAATGGACAAGTAGTTTCACCAAAAATGTTTCATTCAAACTTAACTGTCCCATTTCAGTCCCAGTCTTCTACTCACTCTGTTGAGGGTGATGCAACATATCTATCTCCCGAAGAAGATACATCTGACGCAGAAAGTGGAGAAACCCCAATAAATAACGCTCTAGATATTGAAAGTGGAAGCGGAAGCGAAAGTGGTAGCGGAAACAAAGTTAAGAACACCCCAATTCCTTCTCAGGTTGTAGTTAAAGCGTCGCAAAATCATGTTTCAAAAAAGAAAACACCCGAAACCGTTAATGATGTTAAATCAGACGCTACCTTGGAAGCTGAATACGATGCCGCTCATGGTTACGCTGCTTCAGAAAAACCCAAAATGAAACCAGATAAACCATTATCTCAAAGTGAGAAAAATTCTAAAGCTTCCCAAAGGACACAAACGTCTGAAGCCGACTCATCCATAAATGAGAAGTTTGATGAAGACAGCGTTAAAGGTCAAATTTTGATTATTTTGAACATTTTTATTATTTTTATAAAACTCTGTCTTTCTGTCTGTCTGTCTCTGCCTCTTTCTCTCTCTCTCTCTCTCTCTCTCTCTCTCTCTCTCTCTCTCTCTCTCTCTCTCTCTCTATATATATATATATATATATATATATACATATATATATATATATATATATATATATATATATATATATATATATATATATATATATATATATATATATATATATATATATATATATGTGTTTGCAATTTGGGTGTTTGCGGCTGTGTACAAGTATGTTTTGAGTTGTTGTTGTGAATGTTGTATGAAATTTAGAGGCTGAAGAAGCTGTGGTTGAGGATATTCACGCGGGAATAGATACAAGTCACGAAGACAAAAGACCCCATAAAGCGCATCATCATCACCACCATCACCATGCTTCCAAACATGGAATGGTTGAAGGTAAAACTGAAGAGCAAGTTTGTACAGACAGACAATTTTGTCCAACAACGACAATGGCAGTCCCAACTCCTCACAACAAGTATACTGTATGTTAAAAAAATTAACGATTTGGTTGCTTTGTGACATTACGTTTAGAAACTTAGTAAAATATATTTTATGAAAAATAGGATTTTACATCTTATCAATTTAAATTGATATAGTTTTATCATTTATATAGTATGTATATATAATATATAGGATCCTAAAGTAATGCCATATGAAGGTGACATAGTGACCGAAGCTTTTCTCGAGCATTTGATGGTCAGTCAGTTACTTGAACAAAATCTAAATCTTTTTTACACAAACATGGCTGGTAGACCGGGAGAACAAGGTGAGCCAGGAAGTAAAGGACCAACTGGGCCACCTGGGCACCCAGGTTTAAACGGATATCCAGGACCACCAGGAGATCCAGGATCAATCGGTAATTATAGTTAATTATTTGAATTTAAAGTTTAGATTTGTATAGATTGAAGAAACTTGCATTGCTTTTTATATTAATTTTTAGGTTCACCAGGGAGACCAGGACCTAGAGGACCAATAGGAATACCAGGTTTACCTGGTATGCGAGGTGAAATTGGACAGTTAGGAGAACCTGGTTTAAGTGGTCCACCTGGAACGCCTGGACCACCAGGGCCACCAGGAATGAGAGGCTATGCTGGCGAACCAGAGTCATTTCCAGTAAATTATTTTGATTTAGGAAACGTTTGCATTTTCTTTCTCAAAAGCATATATATATATATATATATATATATATATATATATATATACATACATATATATATATATATATATATATATATATATATATATATATATATATATATATATATATATATATATATATATATATATATATATATATATATATATATATATATATATATATATATATATATATATATATATATATATATATATATATATATATATATATATATATATATATATATATATATATATATATATATATATATATGTATATATATATATATATGAGTACTTAACTTAAAAATAAACAAAATTATTTAGAACTGTAGTTACGTATGCGAGGGAGAAAAAGCTTGGCTTCAATGTAAACAATACGAACAGATTAAAATACTTCGAGTATTTTGGGGTCGTGAAGAGGATCAAGTGGGCAAACGTGCAGTAATTTGTCCGAAACCGCCACATGGTTTAAGTATAAAATCACCATGTGAAAGTAATGCTCAAAATTCTCTTAAAAAGGTCAATGGTCAATGCAATTTACAATCAGGTAAAGAAGTTCTCTATTAATATAATTAAATATGAATAATATAATTTTAATAAAAAGTTAAACCTTTTCACGGTTTAACAAACCTGATGCTTATATTAAAATCAAATTTTAATAATAAAATTTTAAGCATTTCTTGAAAACAAACAAAATAATATTTATAAACATAGATTGTGCGCCTCAGCACCGAGTGTACGCCACAGCACTTTTAATAAAAGTTATTAAATTGAACTCATTCAAATAACAGTAATATGCAAAATTTTCTATATAATAAAATGTATAATAAAATTGTACAAAACTACTTTGAAAATACGGTGTAGTTTCTTCTATACTGACGTAAAATACGTAGCAAAAGTCCTAATTATTAAAATATGTCTAGCCTGTAACCATATTTCAATAGTTGTACAAAGTACACTTATGCATAAGTTGTACAAAGTACACTTATGCATTGTATATTTTGTAATACACGTTATAGTAAACTTTCAAAATTAAATCAATGGGGAATATTTTTTTCAAATATTTTTTTTTTGACATAAACATGAACACCCTTAAGTTTAGAGATTGCAAAAAGTGTCATATAAGAAACATCAAAAATCATGTGGGCGCCCATTTTAGATATTTAAAAAAAAAAAAACAATTTACAAATTTGTTTATTTTATAAAATTATTTCTGGTAAGTTGTTTCAACAACATTGTGTTTTAAAACTTTTATTTTTTATCTATTGATTTATTATCCACTTTAGATGTAATAATGTTAGGAAGATCATTAATGTAAATAAAAAACAACACAGAACCGAGTATAGAACCTTGATGCAGGAGTTATTGGAAATGAAATTGTTGCCTTCGAGGATGACTTTAATACAGCAGTTAAAGAAATAAAAGATTTGATAATCTCAAACATTTTACCAAACACACCATATGAAGCAAGTTTATGAAAAAACCAGCATGCCAAACTTTATCATTAAATAAGGTTTGACATGCTGGTTTTCTTGATAAACTTTAGGTATGGTAATGGCTTTTAAATACATCAAGTGCATTTAGCCTTGCCTTTCTCCCCTTATCTAATACACAACAATATCTTTCATTCACAGCAGTTAGCAAGTCAGCCATAGAACAAGAAGTTTAAAAACCAAATAGATTGTCAAAGAGTAAGTTATTGGACTCAAAAAATATGTTGATCAAAGACTCAAAGACCAAATAATAGAGAGAAAATATTTAGAATGGATTATTAGAGATTAGAGATTAGATTAGGGATAAGATTGAGGGATTAGAATGGTTCTCTAGAGTTTTTTAAAATTGGAATCAATTGGAGCAGCATTTTCCAGTAGACGAAAAAAAATTGTTTCAATTAATTACTTCTTAAATAGTTTAGGGAGAGTTGATGAGAGTTCTGGGAAACACTTTTTTAAGACTATAATAGGAATATTATCCGGACCACAAGCCGTAGAATTGCCGGAATGATTTGGATGTCTAACAATGGGTTGATCTGTTTAACTGGAATGACAAGCAGAGTATGGCCATTAGATTCATGAGTGGAATTAGAAGAAGAGGTCCATGCTAATAATTGTCTTTTTCTTAAGGAGAATTAATAAGATCAGATCCAAGAATGAGAGATAGAATGTTTGACTTTTGATAATGACAATGTTAAAGAATTTCCAAAAGAGCCAAATTTCGGAGATAAAATGCAAGATAATAAGATAATAATCGAGCTTAGTATCAGAGAACTTCTTTTTACATTGATTTCTTGCAATAATTAAAAGGTGTTTGTTTTCAAGAATTGTTCTTGTAAAAAAGATGAAAAAAATGATTACAATTAGATGTAGCAACTGCACAAGAAGGTAAAAACCATGGAGTAGAATGAGGCTTTACTTAAAATCGAAAAGTAGGAATTAAAGCTCCCATACCTGCTTGGATCGAGGAGTTTACGTAGAAGAAGCAATTTATCAACAGAGAGAAAATACGTCAGCTTAAAAACCATAACATAGAAAAACAAAACAAAAAAAAACAAAAGAACTCCGTATCAGCTTTTAGATTGAGTGCCATGATCGGGTGAGTCCGAAGAGGAAGTACTATATAAAAGATTTATAGTGATCATTGCATGGTCGGAACCACTTAAAGGAGAACAAGCAGAAAAAATACAAGCTAGGATCAGAGACATTACACAAACTAAAGAGTGAGGCTAAGTGATTAGGATTGTCTAGAAAATGAATCACAAAGTTACCTATCTGAGGAGATTGATAAATACAAAAAATATGGGTTTTAGTACCAGCAGGGTCAATGGAGTTAGTGTGAGTTAGTGTGACCACTTATTGTGATGAGCATTTAAATCACCAATAATAAAAATATTTTCAGGAAGGGTAAAGAAAAAAGGCATGGTCAATTTGATAAGAAATACTTACCTTTGTTTTTTATCGTTCTCCCCTTTTCTCAAGACTGCACTCTTTTAGTCTTGAGAGGAAGGAGAAATGTGAACAAAGATAAAAAGGTACTGAGCGGAAACACATCAAACCTGATTTTGAGAGGAAGGAGAACTGTAAAGAACAAAGGTAAAAAGGTACTGAGCGGAAACACTTCAAACCTGATTTTGAGAGGAAGGAGAAATGTGAACAAAGGTAAAAAGGTACTGAGCGGAAACACATCAAACCTGATTTTGAGAGGAAGGAGAAATGTGAACAAAAGTAAAAAGGTACTGAGCGGAAACACATCAAACCTGATTTTGAGAGGAAGGAGAACTGTAAAGAACAAAGGTAAAAAGGTACTGAGCGGAAACACATCAAACCTGATTTTTTGACAAATAGATGAACTAATGCGTAAGTATAACCCCAAGCCAAAAATGTGACTATTGGAGTCTTTGCAAACGATAGTACCCATCAAAACTGAGATCTGAAGAAGAAACAGTCGAATTTAAATTAGCCTCATTAAGAGCAAGCAATTTTAGAGAATTTTACAAAGGTTAAAATTCAATTGGTTAGTTACTTTAAATACCACAAACTTTGTGAATGCTATATTGAAAAAATTAAGTGTTGTTAATGGTTTTTTATGTTTAATATTTTTAGTTTAAATGGGCATGTTTTTAGTTAAAAAGAATTTAAATCATTCATATATAGAGCATGACATCCCAAACAATGAGCTATGCTGTTATCTTATTCCTGCTAAATAACCATAATTCATAAATTAGGGTTTATAATACGACCTCGACAATACACACCAAAAGCACTGACAGGGATACAAAATTTGCGCAAAAAGGTTATGTTAATACTCTATTATTCTACAACTGTTGAAATTATCTGAGAACTACCACAAAGTTAGGGTAATCTCACTTCCAGCCGACGTCAAAATTATTAAACTGGGTTTTGGAGCTGTACCCTCATTAGAAGGTAACAGGAAGTTGGGGTAACAGGAAGTATAATTATTGAGACACCAATTTTAAGTTTTATTCAGATAAGAGCCCTAAACAGAGAAATTTAAAATCGGAGTTTATTTCTCCTAATCAAACTCTATAAGGAAACAGGACATGGGGCAGGTAAAGATGGGTTACATGATACCAGTAGCATGGTAATCGTGATGATCCTGAACCTAACATGACCTGGAGAAGTTAAAAGAAGATGTGCATCCCTGGCGCAATGGTTAAAGTTCTAGCTCAGAATCAAGAAGTCTAAGGTTTGATGCCGACTCTATCTTAATAAGCAATATTGGTTAGAAAGGAGAGATGAACTAGTTAAATGCTCTTCCGTGGTGCTTCCGTGGTGCTTTTGTGGTGCTTCCGTGGTGCTTCTGTGGTGCTTCCGTGGTGGTCAGTTAAATGCTCTGTTATAAGATCGTAAGGATTTCTGTGAGCACCTTAATAACTTCAAAACAACTTACTTTCTGTAAACAGTATTTTAAAAAATTGAAAGGCATAATTTAGAAATGCATTAGAAAAGCATTTTATCTTACGGAATACTGGATTTTAAGGTGAGCGTTTGTTTAATAGTTGGAGCCACTTTAATCATCGTGAGAGAAATACGTCTTTAGTTTGGTTTGCTGTAATGCGATCAAGTTTACGTCATTCACTAATAAACTAAAAGAGTACAAATAAAATTCTTGATGACAGTTTATTTAGAATAAGTCTAGTTTTATTTCAAGTAATAACTTACTAGCTCTTTTCTCTATGATATTCGATTTATTACACAACCACATGGACATTCTTTTACCACCTTGTACAACCATATGTACCACCTTGTACATACCACCTTGTACAACCATATGTACATACAATGATATTGCGCAACCATATGTTTACGTAACTTTGCCTTAAAAATTTTTGATCTTTTTTTTTCGTTTTTTTTTCTAAAATCGGTTCTATATGAAAAAGTATCAAAAAAAGTTTTATAAATCCTATTGCAGAGCAAAAATGAAAAAGTATCAAAAAAAGTTTTATAAATCCTATTGCAGAGCAATGTTGTTTTAAAGGTGGATAAATCAAACTGAATTGAAACCAAAATCTAAAAGTGAGAACACATATAAGCAATCCAATAGAATAAAAGCATTTAATACTGTAACTTTATTTGAAAGCCAAAGCGTAAATAACTATTTGCAAACTAAAATTTAACTGAAGTTAAAATTTAACTTTTTTAATTAAACAATTAAACATTCGACTTAAACTGATAAAGGCCGAGAAAGAAATTTTTGATAAAATTAAAGTAAAACAAAATTGTAGACCATATAGCTATACAGCCTAGACTCGTCTATAGGCTACAGTTCCAGAACTTTTTAAAATAAGAGTAATCTAGTCTAACATAGTCGCATAAAGCATTAAAAAAAAATCAAAATGCCAGAAATATTAAATTTAACATAAATAAACGTAATAATCAAAAGAAATAATAATAATTAAAAAAGTGGCATAAAAGTATGCACACAGTAAACTTGTATAAAAAAGATGACTTTTGTATTGATAGTTAACTATTCTTTTTCGATTTATAAACAATTTTATAATTAGGATGTGAAATTGTTGCATCAAATATATTCTTTGATGACGACACTTGTGGAAAAACTTACAAGTATCTTAAGATTTGTTACGAATGTATACCTGACGAATCTAACGCAGTAGACGTGCTGCTTGAAAAAAGAAAAAGAAGAAAGAGAAAAGTGAAAAGAGGTACCTTTTTTTCTCATCAACATTTTTTATAACATTTATAAGCAGCATTTTGTGACCTATAGTGGCGATATTGTCGCCTTTTTTCATAAATATGAAGCAAAACAATTTGTCGTATAAACGAGTTTCGGAAACTATATAATATTAAAATATTCAAATATGTAATATAACATAAAAATTATTTAATATATAATATAGTTTATAATATAAAAATAATATACTTATATTATATAAATTTATAATTTTGCTTTTTTCAGTTTTATTAAGTTAGATTTACACACCAGCTAAAGAATCAGATGCTCCGTTCCTGGCTCTGTTTCTTTTTATTTACAGCCTCTTGCAAAAGTTTAGAACCAGTTAAGTATTTTTTAGGTAAATCAATAACTTATTGAAAATGACATACTCAAAGACATAGGTGTAGCAACCTTGGCGTAGTGGTAACGTACTTGCCTCATAAACAAAGGATCCGTGGTTCAAACTCCACCTCTGGGCAAGTTGTGAGACATGGGTTAGGAAGGAGGCATGAACTTCCTATGAAATGCTAATCCGCGGTGCTTTGTGATGAGACCGTTAGAACTTCTTGGGGCAACTAAACAAAAATTTAAAAAAGAAAAAATTACCTAAAAGGATTTACCTAAAAAAATACTTAACTGGTTCTAAACTTTTGCAAGAGACTGTATGATTACTTTTTTTAATATTATTCATTAGCTAATATTAAAATTTAACTTTAAAGAAATCAAGAATAAAAATTTTTTAAGACTATAAAAATGTTTTTAAACTAAACTAAAAAAATAAATATTAAATTGATTATTGCATTTAATTTTAACATTTAACATATATTAATCTTATTTATTATTAAATAATTATGATGAGATTTAGTTTAAACGCATCTACAAGACTAATTTACAACCTACGAGATTCATTATGTAAAGATATATTTTTAGGAAACATAAATCGTATTATTTTTGATACATCCTATTAGTTTCATTGACTAAAGTTTCATTGAAATTAAAATAAAATCTCTGTAAATAAAACATTTCTTTTTATGTTGTATCTAAATTAAACATTTCATTGCGATTTATTGTTTTTAAATTTGATTTGTTTACTATTTTCCATGTAATTTATGAGCAAATTTATATACTTGTTATGGGCTACTTTCGCACGAGGGTGGCATGAATATTAAGGCCGGCACTGTAAAAAAGAGTAAAAAAACACTTCTTCGCTACCTTTTATGCATTACATTTGTTAGTAATAAAAGAACAATTAGGCCATTACCTATTTACTAACTGAATCATTAAGTTGCATTAACTTAATAGTATTTATAGACGTTTATAAAAGGGTGGACGTCTAAGATATAGTTGAAAATCTAGAGGACCTTATTTTTTTTTAAGAAAAGATTTTTTTGAGAAATTTCTTTTAAATATAGAGTTAGGGTTAGGGTTAGGGTTATATATATATAGTTAGGGTATATAGGGTATAGGGTTAGGGTATATAGGGTATATAGTATATAGGAATATAGTTGATTAGTAAGGGATTTGACACATTTCAGTAGAATGGTTTTGAGAAGTTTTTTTTTCAAAAAGCAATCGGTATTTTAAAAGGATTCATCCCCCTCCCCTCATTTTATTCCTTATATCGCCCCTGTGCAGACTTATTTTTGCTTATTATGAGATTGTTTCATTTTACTTTAACTAGTGTTTTTCCATACAGTATTAAAGAAAGAAATTAAATTATAAATAAACAGAAAGTATATTTAAAAAAAAAAAAATGCAAGTTTAAATTATTCTTCTATTATTCTACTAAGTAACCGATAATAACTCCAATGAACAGCTAAAAATGCCTATATAGGTCTACTGCAAATCCACTAAAATAATGTTTGCTGGGTAGTAATCAATAGCTTCATTTTACAACCAAAGTTTAACAACCATCTCAAAAATTTTCTTATTAAAAAACAATCAATAAGACAACTTCAATTTATCAATTAAACTTTTTATGAAAATAACTTTATTATATTTCTGAACTGACAGTTAAAAAAATCTTTCTTAAAATACTACTTGTTTCAAGGAGATTTTTGGTGTGGGTGTTTTATCTAATTTCAAATGCTTGAAACAATCGCAAATGTTAACAAGTTGTTAACAGTTGCTGATTGTTTTACGCATTTAAAATTGACATAACAACAAGATGTTGTTATTACAACAGCAACTGTAATAAATTTTGAACGAGAATAACACAAATGTCTTTTTATCATTTTGAGATCTGGTACACAGAATCTTATTATTACCACCATTCAGTATTTAAATTAATAAGTTGTCATTTCAAAGGATCCTCAATAAAATTACAATTTGTGATATAAATAAAGATAAATCAGATAAATATAGTTTAAAATATAAAGAAAGTTGGTTATATATATATATTCTTCTGCCTCTTCTGTATATCTAAATAACTTTTGTTTTTCGTTTTAGGCGGGGGCGATTATTTAATTGATGAACGAAGAAAGAGATCCTTATGGGACGAAGATGATATACCTAGCGTACCAAAAGCAATTTGGAAACACCCATCCCATCAATTGAACCTACCTCATAATAGCTAATACAATCACACTAAAAACGAGAACAAGTTTTAACAATCTTTTAAAGAACTTGTTTCGAATAAAAATTTCGCAAAGATTATAAAGTTTAATCTAAAAAGTTTTCCCGGCAATTTTGTGCAGGGCATTTTGCATACTTCAATTCTTGATGCAGGGTATCTTGCATACTTCAATGGTTGTTGAATAAATTTATCAGCCGTATCAAGAGCAAAAGATGGCTATAAATTTTCAGTTTGAACAAATAAGTTTTGGAGACAACAAAGTAATTAATAAAGTTGTTAGCTTCATATTTGTGCAGTTTATTTAGCAAATTAAGAGCTTTTGTAGCAAATAGCAACTAAAACATTGTAAACAAATTGTTATAATCTTTCAGGAGCCTGGTACTAGTTGAGTTTATTCTTTATACACACAAAAAAATAATTATTAGAATGTATTTTTTGTAAACAGATTTTTTATATTGTAAATAATACGCTTTTAATATAACTACCGTCATATAGGATGTATTTTTAGTCTCTCTCTTTCGCAATTTTAAAATGTTTTATTAAAATCACGTGAATATGTAAATAACGTTATTTAGTATTACGTTATCATTTAGTAGTAGTTTTTATTTATTGACAGTTATATTTATCGACAGCTATATTTATCGATCGTAGGGTTTTTTTTTAATCCTTTTATCTTGTGGATGTAAAACTTCTTTGCGATTGAGAACCGGATGACGTTTAACATTTTCATCGTTACTTTTAGCTAGACTGTTTAATTTTCTTTCCAAAGCTTTGATTTGTGTTTCTCTACAATAATTTATAAGATGTTATAAAAAACTTTTTATCAAAGCGGCGGTAAATACTGCCGCACTAATTTTAAAAATTTGCTTAAGTGACGACAAATTAAAGCCGTGAAAAAATTGATTTTTAAAGTTTAAAACAATTTCAACTAATTCATCTTTTTTTCATTGAGCACTATTACATTATTTTATAATTTTTTCTTATCAAATGAATATTTTTTGAACAATTTTTCTTACTGCAAAAATCTCTCAACTTGTGTAGTTGTCTTTAAGTACACTTATATGTGTCATGTGCTTATTTATATCTGTTACTCTATTTTCAAAATTTTGAAAAATTATATAATAGTAGTCGAGTCGGAAACAAATCGGAAATCCAAGAAACGCATATTTAAAATAAACAAATACTCACGTGACTAAACCAATTTAAATAAAAAAAAGTATTGTTTTAAGAATTTGCCGCCACTAAGCAAAATTTTGCGGTATTTACCGCCGCAATAGCTTTACCAAATAAAAACAACAACAAATTGTCCTAAAATTAATAGACAGAGCTTTGTAAATAGCTTAAATAATATTACTTAAAGAACAAAAAAATTTAATGACACCACTAACCTTTCAACAGCGGTTAAAACTACGGTAGATGAGACACACTTTAAAAATAAAATTGTAAATAAAATATCAAAATATTTTATATAGAACTAAATCGTCAAGATTATATCACAATCATTTGTTTTTTTTTTTGAGGGGGAGAGGGGAGGTGAAAGGAGGAGGAGGGAAGGGGAGGTGAAAGTTAAGTTATTAGTTGACACATAGTTTTATATTATAATACTACCACCCAAGTCCGTAGCTTTAACATAGTTTTATATTATAATACTACCACCCAAGTCCGTAGCTTTAACATAGTTTTATATTATAATACTACCACCCAAGTCCGTAGCAAACGTTAAAATAAATGCAAGTATAATTGCAATAAACTATATAAATCTTTTTTTTAAATAAATAAATATATTTTTTAAACCAACAATTATATTTTGCAACCGGCATCTTTTCCAAATTATTGTTTTACCGACAAAATTTTGCATATCTTAGTGGGTGTTTGACCTCCACCCTGCAGCTGCGCTACGCTTAAATACAGGGACTGGATTTAAATTAAATCCAAAATACTCTCAGAATCTGCTTATTTTTAGGGAAACCTGTTAAACCTTGGGACGTTTCAAATATTCGCACGATATCAAATTTTATTTTCTATAGTATTAGGTACATCACTACCGACTATTTAATGTAAAGTTAGTCACATACCGCCATTAATCTGGTGTTTGCTGTTATCGACGTTAACATGTTATCGACGGTTTCTTTTATTGTTTTTTTTTTATATTGTAAATAATACGCTTTTAATATAACTACCGTCATATAGAATGTATTTTTAGTCTCTCTCTTTCGCAATTTTAAACAAACAATAAAAAACTTACAAGATAAGTAACCTCAAAACCATTTATAGAACTTACAAGATAAGTAACCTCAAAACTATTTATAATCCATCATTTTATTGAAGTTGGAGTAGTGTTGTACCTCGGTCACTACCGATTAGTTGTTCCTTGGTCAGTGGCCAAGGTACAATCTAGATGTTATAATACTGAATTATTTGTTATATTAGTGCTCTTGCGTTTTTTGACACGGACATTTCTAAAAAAGTCCTAAGTGAGAAAATATCACTAAAGAGAAATTAGATCATAGAAATAGATTTAAAAAAATTATTTTCTTAGATAAATTTTTTTTTTTATATATTTACTAACCTGCATGTATTTTACACTCTATAACTAGATATTTTTTTAATATATACGATAAATAAATATTTATAAATATAAATTAATATTAAGTAAAAAGTACAGTAAATTTTTATTTTAGAAAACTAAATTTGTTGTTGTTTTAATGTTGTTGCTTTCGATATTATATATGGCTAGTGTAATATATTCCTAATCAAATATCTTTATTATTTCAGAGATCATGCCTAGAAGTAAAAAGAAGAAGAAAAAGACACTTATTAGTGTGAATGATTTGACAAAAGCTATTAAAATGGTTAAGGAGAAAAAATTCACCATTTTTGGTGCTTCCATACATTTTAGATTACCAAGAACAACTTTGCGTCGTCATTTAAAGCACTGTTTGGAAATAGGTAAGGATGTAAGCAAGTTACACGAAAAACTTGCAGTTAATCAAGTTTATGATCGCACCGCAGAGTTGATTAACAGACTTGATTAACAGAGCAAAGTCTGGTTGATATTAAAGACGCAGCACACTTGCAATTTAGAAACTTGCTTACCAGTTTGCAAAAGTGAATGGAAAAAAAGTACCATAAGAGCTGGGTTATAAACAAAATGGCTGGAGATTATTGACTGCGATCATTTAGGAAGCGATGCCAAAATGAATTGTCTTTAAGAAAGCCTGAAGATACTATTTTGGCTCGCTCTTCTGCGTTTAACAAACATACTGTGAGTTTAACATACAACAATTTTAAGAAAGCCCTTTCTCAATGTCCCTCTGACATAAAAGCAACCACGGACTACTTAAATTACACGGCCTGATTCGTTGCATTTTCCGTAAAAAACTAAGAGGCCAGTTTTTTTACCGCTCAAGTATAAAAACTTAATTTTCGCTATGGTTATGAGTCTTGTTTGCACTATAATTGGTTTATTCTTATATTATTAAAATGGTTTAATAATAGTTAGATTTTATTTGAGTACTTACACTATTTTACGCTGGATTTTTTGTTAACTGATCGCCTGTTTCAGTTTATTCTAATAACACAGAATACTGAAATAGGTTTTCAGACAGCTATATCAACACATACCAACATGCTACTAAAAATAACCTTACATGTTGCTAAGATTGCAACATTCATTGAAAAAAAATCAAAGGTTTGTAGTTTTGTATTTTTTATAATTGAAATTAAAAGAAGAAATACCTATTTACTAGGAATATTTATTTTGTCTTTGACTTTTTTGTAATTTTGATCTTTACTAAATAAATATGTAACTTCTTTTTGCAAATTGTTATAATAATATTATTAACAATACGAGATCTATATTTGATTCCCCACTTTCGGTGCTTTTCAATAGTAAAATTGTCATTGCTACAACAAATCTATAAAATTTGTTTTGCAAATTTTTAATTGAAAAAGAACGACTTCAATTTTTTATTTGAATAAGAGAAATAACAAAAAATACTAAACAGAAAACAAATAAAGTTAGACAGAGGTTGAATTGCATATATAGGTTCTTCTCTATATAAAGTAACATTTATTAATCATAAATTTAACATCAAATTTTTTTTGCTAACTTTTACCATTATTCCTTGCTTTATTATATAAATCTGTGCTATTTTTAAAAAACTGACACTAGTAATTATGTAGACAACTAAGCTAAATCTTGCATAATATTTTTTAATGAATATCAAAATTCTGACAAAATATTTTTTGGGAAAATCCGCGAAAATCTTTTTACTAATGCATGTTTCTAATTATATTTACTAAAACCTAGCTCCAAAAGATTACTTTGTAAATTAGAACTAAGAACAACTGCAAAGCCTTCCTCAAAAAAATCATTCATAAGAGATACAGTTGCTTGTAGGGTTGCTATAAGAGCATAAGAAGTTTTTTTAGTTAATGTAAAGTATTTATCAAATTTTATTTTAATTAAATTTCAGTACTATTTGCAATTTCTCTATAAAATGTGGGTTTGTTATCACCTTTTAAAGCAGCGTTGCAGAGTTTGATTGGATAAATTAAGTTTCTGCTTTGAATTAAGTATGATAAATAACTTATAAAATAATGATTATAAGTGTGTTGCATTATTTCTATCAGGAAAAAATGTTGACAACTTGTTTGTTGTTTCCAAAATATGTGACTTGATAATTAATTTTACTTCCCTGTTTAATAATTAATCTTTTAATAAACTTTAAGAAATATATTCCCTGCAATGTAAAGTTTTTTTTGCGTTTAATAAGTTTTTCTTACATTTTTTATAAAACAAAGTATATCAAATAATAAGTATGTTTTATACACTCCTTTTTTAATCTGAATGATAAATTAATAGTTTTCCATCACCAATATATGCTTTATGAAACTATAAAAATGCATTAACATTGGTAAAATGGTTATCTGTCACAACAGCCCTTATCTTAAAATTAGATTGGTATATTGAGGTAATACACTCATCAATTTCTTTTTTCAAACATAAACTTGTTATGTAATCTTTTGGTGAGGATTTTAAAATAAAAACAAAAACAACTTTATAAAGATTATTTTCTCAATCTTTATCAAATTGTTTACAACTTTGATATTGAGCTGCTTTTTGGAAGTACATCTTAACCACAAGAAGCAGATAATCAATTAACAACAAATTTTTGTCAATAATATTTCTAATATAATATAGTTTTTTAATTTGTAATTTTCACCACTGCGAAACCGTTTTAATAAAGAAATATGAAAATATGAAATATGATAAGCATTTATTAGGCAATGAAAAATTAAGAATTTTATTAACAGATATTGACTCCAAAACAGTTGGTATGCCTAATATTTCTTGGCCTATTTTGTTGCATTTTAATTGCTGTATGTATGAAACATGCAGCATAGTAGAGTATTTTCATTTCAAAACATTGTTTTGCAGGGTAAATATTTCAAAGAAAAATCGATTTTTTATATCTAATAACAGCAATTATAATAAATACAGAAGTAAAAACCTTTAAAATTATTTCCAATGGAGAGTTGTGGGTAGCTTTAGCAACATGTAAGGTTATTTTTATTAGCATGTTGGTATGTGTTGATATAGCTATCTGAAAGCCTATTTCAGTATTCTGTGTAATTGGAATAAACTGAAGCAGGCAATCAGTTAACAAAAAATTCAGTACAAAATAATGTAAGTACTCAAACAAAATCTAACTATTATTAAACCATTTTAATAAAATAAGAATAAACCAATTATAGTGCAAACAAGACTCATAACCATAGCGAAAATTAAGTTTTTATACTTGAGACGTAAAAAAACTGGTCTTTTAATTTTTTACGGAAAATGCAACAAATCAGGTCATGTAATTTAAGTAGGCCATGAAGCAACTAATATCTGGAATTTAGACAAAACTGGATTGTCCACTGTCCATGTTCCTCCAAAGATATTAACACCTCTTTGCACTAAGCAAGTTGGGTCAATGACTAGTGCTGAAAGAGGAATGGCGGTTACAATGATAGCGGCTATTAATGCAGGTGGTGGTTTTATTCCACCCATGCTGATATTCCCTCATGCAAACTTTAAAGATTTTATGATAAATGGAGCTCCTGAAGGAAGTATTGGAGGTACCAATTCATCCGGTTGGTCAAACGAGTCCATGTTTGTGAAATTCCTCTAGCATTTTATCAAATATGCAAAGTCTACCAAAGAACAACCTGTCATTCTCATAATGGACAATCATGAAAATCATATTTCAGTACCCGCAATACAAATAACCAAAAATAATGGTGAAAAGCTTATCACTCTGCATCCACATACTAGTAATCATATAGAACCATTAGACAAGTCAGTTTTTGGGCCTTTCAAGACTTATTTTAATACAGTGGCTAACGATTTACTGATCTCTCCAGGTCATGTGGGAAAAC